TATTGGTACATCGATTATAACCCTAAATGCTACTGACTTAGATGCTGGACAAAACGGGAAAATATCATATTCACTTATAGAAATAGACCAGGGGAAACAAAGTGATCTCTTTGCTATAGACCAAACAACAGGGACTGTAACAAATAAGAATAATATAGACTTTGAAGAAAACAATGCTTTTGAGATTAGAGTACAAGCAAGTGACGGAGCTTCCTCACCGATGACCTCACATGTAAAATTATTGATTGAGGTTTTAGACGTCAACGACAATGCCCCTGAAATGTCAGTGACTTCTCTGTTAAACACCGTGAAGGAGGATGCAGCCATAGGCACCGCCATTGCACTTGTTTCAGTGTTTGATAAAGACGGAGGTAAAAATGGGATAGTGAACTGTAAAATGTCCAACAATGTTCCTTTTAAATTAGAATCTAATTACAAGAATTACTATTCGTTGGTGGTGGACGGCCCTCTTGACAGAGAGAGTGCATCTCAATACAACATCAGCATCACTGCTACTGATGAGGGCCGCCCACCTCTCTCCAGCACGAGCGTTATTAATGTGCACGTCTCAGATGTGAATGATAATAAACCTCTATTTGCAGAAAACATAATCAATGTCTATGTGAAAGAAAACAGTCCGGTAGGAGCAGTTATAAAAACCGTTTCAGCCATTGATGCAGACAACAATCAAAATGGTCAGGTGAGCTACTCCATTTCACAAAGTAACAGTAACTCGTTGCCTCTCTCTTCAATGGTGAACATCAACTCAGAGACTGGAGATATAGTCAGCCTGCAGTCTTTTAACTATGAGGAGTTAAACACGTTTCAGTTTAAAGTCCAGGCCACAGACTCTGGTGTTCCTCCTCTCAGCAGCAACGTGACTGTGAACGTTTTAATTCTGGATGAAAATGACAATAATCCAACAGTCCTCGCGCCGTATTCTGAGCACGGCTCCGTTAACAGTGAGAGCATCCCCTATTCTGCTGAGGCGGAATACTTTGTGGCAAAGATCAGGGCTGTAGACGCAGACTCTGGATACAATGCGCTGCTTTCGTATCACCTCTCTGAGCCCAAAGGAAACAACCTCTTCCGGATCGGAACCAGTAGCGGAGAAATCAGGACTAAAAGGAGAATGAGTGACAATGACCTGAAAACTCACCCCTTGGTGGTGTTGGTTTCTGATAACGGAGAACCCTCCCTGTCAGCTACTGTCTCTATTGATGTGGTGGTGGTTGAAAGCACAGCTGACATCCAGACTCAGTTCAGACATGTGCCCATACAGGAGGAGAGCTTCTCTGATTTGAACCTGTATCTGCTGATCGCCATTGTGTCGGTGTCAGTGATCTTTCTGCTGAGCCTCATCAGTTTAATAGCTGTCAAATGCCACAGGACAGACGGCAGTTTCAGCAGGTACAGCGCCCCAATGATCACCACCCACCCTGACGGGAGCTGGTCTTACTCTAAATCTACTCAGCAGTACGACGTGTGTTTCAGCTCAGACACAATGAAGAGTGACGTAGTGGTTTTCCCCGGCCCGTTTCCGCCTGTAGATGGTGAACTGATCAGTATTAACGGAGGAAACACTTTTACCAGAACTCAGACTTTACCCAACACAGACCAGGTAAGAAATTGAAATACATCAAATCGTTGCTGTAGGTGTTCTTTTTGAAGAGAAAATGGCTGCGATATGACGTGGTTTTACTTAAGTCAGTTTAGAGATGTTTGGGTACTAACGGTCATGTCATTTACACGGACTCTCCTTTTCATTTAAGAGGTCATGTTTATCAAGGACAGCAATGATGGTTATTCAGTTTGTAGCTTGATATTAATTTGTTGATAGTTTTTACATTACTGTAAAGTTTGGTTGTTGATTTGAAATCAGTGTGTTAGTCGCTATCCTTGGTGCTGAACTACATGTGTTGTTGGAGTTAAACTTGCCTTCAATTCCAATAAAATAAGGCTAAATCTCCTTGTTGTAATGCAGAGTTTTTAAAAATATATTTACGAATATATTTTGCCATAACTCTTGAACAAAATGTCATATGGCAAAGTGTTTCTCCAATATATCCGTCCATGTAATATTTGTAGTCAATTGCAATTCAGTTTAAAAAAGTATATGCATTTCTGTTTTTCCCTAAACCATTATCTGATTGACAGTGCTATAAGGATGTGCTTAAAAGTTCAGTTCATATTTAAAACAGGCTGTATTAAAAACTATTAATTCTTACAATATACATGTCAGTTATCAGTGGGGTAAGCGCTGTAGTTTAGTATCTGAGTCTCTTATTTTTGCAATCTTTTGACAAACAAAGAGAATATTCACACATTTACAATTTATTTTATGTTGGATTTGAGGTGTAGTTTTAAAATCGGTCCACAGGGGGACACTGTAGACCGTCACATCTTGACGGTCTCTTCGTGGCTCGCGGCTCCTCCCAGATTCAGCGGATGATCCATCTCTGGGCTTTGTTACAAAGAGAGGTCGGACGACAAAGAGCGGTTGTCTTGTTTGGTCGTGGAAATGCCGTAATATTTGTTGGAAATATCTTCCTGGATCTTTTTTTCATAGTTGCCGTTATTGTTCAGATTTGCCTACATGCTCCTTCTCGATGTATGGAATAATGAATTTGCCGAGCAGAACCAGCTGGATATATCTCCTGGTCGTGCTGCTGGAGTGTTTCTGGGAAGCGGTGTCTGGGCAGCTGTCTTACTCCGTCTCAGAGGAGGTCAATCTGGGGACTGTTGTGGGAAATATCGCTAAAGATCTGAACATCAATGTCCAGGATTTGGAGCCCCGCATGTTTCAGATCGTTGCAGGATCTAAGAGGAAATACTTCGAGGTAAATCTAAAGACTGGTGCCCTGTACGTTAACGAGAGAATAGACAGAGAGGAGCTCTGCGGCGACGAGACCAAATGTTCCCTCAGTGTAGAAGCAGTTATTAATAACCCTTTAAAACTGTACCGGATTGAAATCATAATATTAGATGTGAATGATAATTCACCGTCATTTTTAAGCAAGTCACAGGAAATTAACATTACAGAGAATACTGCGGTAGGGGCAACCTTTCCATTTCATCCAGCTGACGATGCAGACGTTGGTAGAAATACTGTAAACAGCTACAAGCTTAGCCAAAATGAGCATTTCTCTCTCGCTACACACAAAGGAAATACTGTAACTCCCGAATTACTGCTTCAGAAAGTTTTAGACAGAGAAAAACAGTCTGTAATCCGACTCATACTGACTGCTATTGATGGGGGAACTCCTGCTAAATCAGGCAGTATGACTATAATAGTGAATGTGTTGGACATTAATGATAATGCTCCTGTATTTAGTCAAACTCTGTACAAAGCCAGTGTGTATGAAAACGCTCAAATTGGAACATCGATAATAACCATAAATGCTACTGACTTAGATGCTGGACAAAATGGACAGGTGTTATATTCATTCAGTAAAGCAGGCAGAGGAAAACAAAGTGATTTGTTTAGAATTGATGAAAAAACCGGGACTGTAACAAATATCAAGAATATAGACTTTGAAGAAAACAATGCTTTTGAGATTAGAGTGCAAGCAAGTGATGGAGCATCCTCACCGATGACCTCACATGCAAAATTATTGATTGAGGTTTTAGACGTCAACGACAATGCCCCTGAAATGTCAGTGACTTCTCTGTTAAACACCGTGAAGGAGGATGCAGCCATAGGCACCGCCATTGCACTTGTTTCAGTATTTGATAAAGATGGAGGTAAAAATGGGATAGTGAACTGTAAAATGTCCAACAATGTTCCTTTTAAATTAGAGTCCAATTACAAGAATTACTATTCGTTGGTGGTGGACGGCCCTCTCGACAGAGAGAGTGCGTCTCAATACAACATCAGCATCACTGCTACTGATGAGGGCAGCCCACCTCTCTCAAGCACGAGCGTTATTAATGTGCACGTGTCAGATGTGAATGATAATAAACCTCTATTTACAGAAAACATAATCAATGTCTATGTGAAAGAAAACAGTGCAGTAGGAGCAGTAATAAAAACCGTTTTAGCCATTGATGCAGACAACAATCAAAATGGTCAGGTGAGCTACTCCATTTCACAAAGTAACAGTAACTCGTTGCCTCTCTCTTCAATGGTGAACATCAACTCAGAGACTGGAGATATAGTCAGCCTGCAGTCTTTTAACTATGAGGAGTTAAACACGTTTCAGTTTAAAGTCCAGGCCACAGACTCTGGCGTTCCTCCTCTCAGCAGCAACGTGACTGTGAACATTTTAATTCTGGATGAAAATGACAATAATCCAACAGTCCTCGCGCCCTATTCTGAGCACGGCTCCGTTAACAGTGAGAGCATCCCCTATTCTGCTGAGGCGGGATACTTTGTGGCAAAGATCAGGGCTGTAGACGCAGACTCTGGATACAATGCGCTGCTTTCGTATCACCTCTCTGAGCCTAAAGGAAACAACCTCTTCCGGATCGGAACCAGTAGCGGAGAAATCAGGACTAAGAGGAGAATGAGTGACAATGACCTGAAAACTCACCCCTTGGTGGTGTTGGTTTCTGATAACGGAGAACCCTCCCTGTCAGCTACTGTCTCTATTGATGTGGTGGTGGTTGAAAGCACAGCTGACATCCAGACTCAGTTCAGACATGTGCCCATACAGGAGGAGAGCTTCTCTGATTTGAACCTGTATCTGCTGATCGCCATTGTGTCGGTGTCAGTGATCTTTCTGCTGAGCCTCATCAGTTTAATAGCTGTCAAATGCCACAGGACAGACGGCAGTTTCAGCAGGTACAGCGCCCCAATGATCACCACCCACCCTGACGGGAGCTGGTCTTACTCTAAATCTACTCAGCAGTACGACGTGTGTTTCAGCTCAGACACAATGAAGAGTGACGTAGTGGTTTTCCCCGGACCGTTTCCGCCGGTAGATGGTGAACTGATCAGTATTAACGGAGGAGACACTTTTACCAGAACTCAGACTTTACCCAACACAGACAAGGTAAGAAATGAAATACATTAAATCGTTGCTGTACGTGTTCTTTTTGAAGAGAAAATGGCTGGGATATGACGTGGTTTTAAGTCATTTTAGAGACGTGTTTGCTAACGGTCATGGGCGGCATTTACACGGACTCTCCTTTTCATTTAAGAGGGAATGTTTATCAAGAATAGCAATGATGGTTATTCAGTTTGTAGCTTGATATTAATGTGTTGATAGTTTTTACATTGCTGTAAAGTTTGGTTGTTTATTTGCAATCATTGTTTTAGTCGCTATCCATGGTGCTCAACGATAGGCTTACATGTGTTGTTGCAGTTGAACTTTCGTTCAATTCTAAGAAAATAATGCAAAATCTCCTTGTTGTAATTCAGAGTTTTTTTTAAATATATTTACGAATATATTTTTGCAACAATTTTTGATCAAAATATAATATGGCAAATTGTTCCTCCAAATATAACTGTTCATGTAATATTTGCAGTCAATTAAAATTCAGTTTTTAAAAAAAAAGTATGTTGCATTTCTGTATTTACCTAATCCATTATCCCATTAACAGTGCTATAAGGATTTACTTAAAACTTCAATTAATATTTAAAAACAGGCCGTTTAAATAAAAAAAAACTTCATTCATACAATATACATGTCAGTTATCAGTGGGGTAAACGCTGTAGTTTAATATTTGTCTCTATTTGTTTGCAATCTCTTGACAAACAAAGATAATGTTCACACATTTACAATTTGTTTTATGTTTGATTTGAGGTGTAGTTTTAAAATCGGTCCACAGGGGGACACTGTAGACCGTCACATCTTGACGGTCTCTACGTGGCTCGCGGCTCCTCCCAGATTCAGCGGATGATCCATCTCTGGGCTTTGTTACAAAGAGAGGTCGGACGACAAAGAGCGGTTGTCTTGTTTGGTCGTGGAAATGCCGTAATATTTGTTGGAAATATCTTCCTGGATCTTATTTTCATAGTTGCTGTTATTGTTCAGATTGCCTACATGCTCCTTCTCGATGTATGGAATAATGAATTTGCCGAGCAGAACCAGCTGGATATATCTCCTGGTCGTGCTGCTGGAGTGTTTCTGGGAAGCGGTGTCTGGGCAGCTGTCTTACTCTTTCTCAGAGGAGGTCAATCTGGGGACTGTTGTGGGAAATATCGCTAAAGATCTGAACATCAATGTCCAGGATTTGGAGCCCCGCATGTTTCAGATCGTTGCAGGATCTAAGAGGAAATACTTCGAGGTAAATCTAAAGACTGGTGCCCTGTACGTTAACGAGAGAATAGACAGAGAGGAGCTCTGCGGCGACGAGAACAAATGTTCCCTCAGTGTAGAAGCAGTCATTAATAACCCTTTAAAACTGTACCGGATTGAAATCATAATCTTAGATGTAAATGATAATTCACCGTCATTTCTAAGCAAGTCACAGGTAATTAACATTACAGAGAGTACTGCAGCGGGGGTGAAATTTCCTCTGCATCAAGCTCACGATGCAGACGTCGGTAAACAAACGGTAAATAGTTACAAGCTTAGCCAGAATGAACATTTCTCTCTGGCTACTCATAAAGGAGATAGTGTCTCTCCAGAATTATTACTTCAGAAAGTTTTAGACAGAGAAAAACAGTCTGTAATCCAACTCATACTGACTGCTATTGATGGAGGAACTCCTGCTAAATCAGGCAGTATGACTATAATAGTGAATGTTTTGGACACTAATGATAATTCTCCTGTATTCAGTCAAACTCTCTACAAAGCCAGTGTGTATGAAAACACTAAAATTGGAACATATATTATAACCCTAAATGCTACTGACTTAGATGCAGGCCCAAACGGACACGTTTTATATTCATTCAGTGAAGTGGGCAGAGGAAAACAAAGTGATATGTTTGCCATTGACGAAAAAACAGGGACTATAACAAATAAAAATAATATAGACTTTGAAGAGAATAATGCTTTTGAGATTAGAGTACAAGCCAGCGATGGAGCATCTTCTCCTCTCACCTCAAACACCAAATTATTGATTGAGGTTTTAGACCTCAACGACAATGCCCCTGAAATGTCAGTGACTTCTCTGTTAAACACCGTGAAGGAGGATGCAGCCATAGGCACCGCCATTGCACTTGTTTCAGTATTTGATAAAGACGGAGGTAAAAATGGGATAGTGAACTGTAAAATGTCCAACAATGTTCCTTTTAAATTAGAATCTAATTACAAGAATTACTATTCGTTGGTGGTGGACGGCCCTCTTGACAGAGAGAGTGCGTCTCAATACAACATCAGCATCACTGCTACTGATGAGGGCAGCCCACCTCTCTCCAGCACGAGCGTTATTAATGTGCACGTGTCAGATGTGAATGATAATAAACCTCTATTTACACAAAACATAATCAATGTCTATGTGAAAGAAAACAGTGCAGTAGGAGCAGTTATAAAAACCGTTTCAGCTATTGATGCAGACAACAATCAAAATGGTCAGGTGAGCTACTCCATTTCACAAAGTAACAGTAACTCGTTGCCTCTCTCTACGATGGTGAACATAAACTCAGAGACTGGAGATATAGTCAGCCTGCAGTCTTTTAACTATGAGGAGTTAAACACGTTTCAGTTTAAAGTGCAGGCCACAGACTCTGGTGTTCCTCCTCTCAGCAGCAACGTGACTGTGAACATTTTAATTCTGGATGAAAATGACAATAATCCAACAGTCCTCGCGCCCTATTCTGAGCACGGCTCCGTTAACAGTGAGAGCATCCCCTATTCTGCTGAGGCGGGATACTTTGTGGCAAAGATCAGGGCTGTAGACGCAGACTCTGGATACAATGCGCTGCTTTCGTATCACCTCTCTGAGCCCAAAGGAAACAACCTCTTCCGGATCGGAACCAGTAGCGGAGAAATCAGGACTAAGAGGAGAATGAGTGACAATGACCTGAAAACTCACCCCTTGGTGGTGTTGGTTTCTGATAACGGAGAACCCTCCCTGTCAGCTACTGTCTCTATTGATGTGGTGGTGGTTGAAAGCACAGCTGACATCCAGACCCAGTTCAGACGTGTGCCCATACAGGAGGAGAGCTTCTCTGATTTGAACCTGTATCTGCTGATCGCCATTGTGTCGGTGTCAGTGATCTTTCTGCTGAGCCTCATCAGTTTAATAGCTGTCAAATGCCACAGGACAGACGGCAGTTTCAGCAGGTACAGCGCCCCAATGATCACCACCCACCCTGACGGGAGCTGGTCTTACTCTAAATCTACTCAGCAGTACGACGTGTGTTTCAGCTCAGACACAATGAAGAGTGACGTAGTGGTTTTCCCCGGACCGTTTCCGCCTGTAGATGGTGAACTGATCAGTATTAACGGAGGAGACACTTTTACCAGAACTCAGACTTTACCCAACAATGACAAGGTAAGAAATTGAAATACATCAAATCGTTGCTGTAGGTGTTCTTTTTGAAGAGAAAATGGCTGCGATATGACGTGGTTTTACTTAAGTCAGTTTAGAGACGTGTGGGTACTAACGGTCATGTCATTTACACAGACTCTCCTTTTCATTTAAGAGGGAATGTTTATCAAGGACAGCAATGATGGTTATTCAGTTTGTAGCTTGATATTAATTTGTTGATAGTTTTTACATTACTGTAAAGTTTGGTTGTTGATTTGAAATCAGTGTGTTAGTCGCTATCCGTGGTGCTGAACTACATGTGTTGTTGGAGTTAAACTTGCCTTCAATTCCAATAAAATAATGCTAAATCTCCTTGTTGTAATGCAGAGTTTTTAAAAATATATTTGCGAATATTTTGCAACAACTCTTGAACAAAATGTCATATGGCAAAGTGTTTCTCCAATATATCCGTCCATGTAATATTTGTAGTCAATTGCAATTCAGTTTTAAAAAGTATTTGCATTTCTGTTTTTCCCTAAACCATTATCTGATTGACAGTGCTATAAGGATGTGCTTAAAAGTTCAGTTCATATTTAAAACAGGCTGTATTAAAAAAAAAACTATTAATTCTTACAATATACATGTCAGTTATCAGTGGGGTAAGCGCTATAGTTTAGTATCTGAGTCTCTTATTTTTGCAATCTCTTGACAAACAAAGAGAATATTCACACATTTATATTTGTTTTATGTTTGATTTGAGGTGTAGTTTTAAAATCGGTCCACAGGGGGACACTGTAGACCGTCACATCTTGACGGTCTCTTCGTGGCTCGCGGCTCCTCCCAGATTCAGCGGATGATCCATCTCTGGGCTTTGTTACAAAGAGAGGTCGGACGACAAAGAGCGGTTGTCTTGTTTGGTCGTGGAAATGCCGTAATATTTGTTGGAAATATCTTCCTGGATCTTATTTTCATAGTTGCTGTTATTGTTCAGATTGCCTACATGCTCCTTCTCGATGTATGGAATAATGAATTTGCCGAGCAGAACCAGCTGGATATATCTCCTGGTCGTGCTGCTGGAGTGTTTCTGGGAAGCGGTGTCTGGGCAGCTGTCTTACTCCGTCTCAGAGGAGGTCAATCTGGGGACTGTTGTGGGAAATATCGCTAAAGATCTGAACATCAATGTCCAGGATTTGGAGCCCCGCATGTTTCAGATCGTTGCAGGATCTAAGAGGAAATACTTCGAGGTAAATCTAAAGACTGGTGCCCTGTACGTTAACGAGAGAATAGACAGAGAGGAGCTCTGCGGCGACGAGAGCAAATGTTCCCTCAGTGTAGAAGCAGTTATTAATAACCCTTTAAAACTGTACCGGATTGAAATCATAATCTTAGATGTAAATGATAATTCACCGTCATTTCTAAGAAAGTCACAGGAAATCGACATTACAGAGAGTACTGCAGTAGGGGCACAATTTCCATTTCATCCAGCTGACGACCCAGACGTGGGTAGAAATACTGTAAACAGCTACAAGCTTAGCCAAAATGAACATTTCTCTCTCGCAACACATAAAGGAGATAGTGTCACTCCCGAATTACTGCTTCAGAAAGTTTTGGACAGAGAAAAACAGTCTGTAATCAAACTCATACTGACTGCTATAGATGGGGGAACTCCTGCTAAATCAGGCAGTATGACTATAATAGTGAATGTGTTGGACACTAATGATAATGCTCCAGTATTTAGTCAAACTCTTTACAAAGCCAGTGTGTATGAGAATTCAGATGTAGGCACATCGATAATAACCCTGAATGCTACTGACTTAGATACTGGACAACATGGTAAAGTGTTATATTCATTCAGTAAAGCAGGCAGAGGAAAACAAAGTGATTTGTTTTCCATTGATGAAAAAACCGGGACTGTAACAAATATAAAGAATATAGACTTTGAAGAGAATATTGCTTTTGAGATTAGAGTACAAGCCAGCGATGGAGCATCTTCTCCTCTCACCTCAAACACCAAATTATTGATTGAGGTTTTAGACCTCAACGACAATGCCCCTGAAATGTCAGTGACTTCTCTGTTAAACACCGTGAAGGAGGATGCAGCCATAGGCACCGCCATTGCACTTGTTTCAGTATTTGATAAAGACGGAGGTAAAAATGGGATAGTGAACTGTAAAATGTCCAACAATGTTCCTTTTAAATTAGAATCTAATTACAAGAATTACTATTCGTTGGTGGTGGACGGTCCTCTCGACAGAGAGAGTGCGTCTCAATACAACATCAGCATCACTGCTACTGATGAGGGCAGCCCACCTCTCTCCAGCACGAGCGTTATTAATGTGCACGTGTCAGATGTGAATGATAATAAACCTCTATTTACACAAAACATAATCAATGTCTATTTGAAAGAAAACAGTCCAGTAGGAGCAGTAATAAAAACCGTTTTAGCTATTGATGCAGATCAAAATCAAAATGGTCAGGTGAGCTACTCCATTTTACAAAGTAACAGTAACTCGTTGCCTCTCTCTACGATGGTGAACATAAACTCAGAGACTGGAGATATAGTCAGCCTGCAGTCTTTTAACTATGAGGAGTTAAACACGTTTCAGTTTAAAGTCCAGGCCACAGACTCTGGCGTTCCTCCTCTCAGCAGCAACGTGACTGTGAACGTTTTAATTCTGGATGAAAATGACAATAATCCAACAGTCCTCGCGCCCTATTCTGAGCATGGCTCCGTTAACAGTGAGAGCATCCCCTATTCTGCTGAGGCGGGATACTTTGTGGCAAAGATCAGGGCTGTAGACGCAGACTCTGGATACAATGCGCTGCTTTCGTATCACGTCTCTGAGCCCAAAGGAAACAACCTCTTCCGGATCGGAACCAGTAGCGGAGAAATCAGGACTAAGAGGAGAATGAGTGACAATGACCTGAAAACTCACCCCTTGCTGGTGTTGGTTTCTGATAATGGAGAGCCCTCCCTGTCAGCTACTGTCTCTATTGATGTGGTGGTGGTTGAAAGCACAGCTGACATCCAGACTCAGTTCAGACATGTGCCCATACAGGAGGAGAGCTTCTCTGATTTGAACCTGTATCTGCTGATCTCCATTGTGTCGGTGTCAGTGATCTTTCTGCTGAGCCTCATCAGTTTAATAGCTATCAAATGCCACAGGACAGACGGCAGTTTCAGCAGGTACAGCGCCCCAATGATCACCACCCACCCTGACGGGAGCTGGTCTTACTCTAAATCTACTCAGCAGTACGACGTGTGTTTCAGCTCAGACACAATGAAGAGTGACGTAGTGGTTTTCCCCGGACCGTTTCCGCCTGTAGATGGTGAGCTGATCAGTATTAACGGAGGAGACACTTTTACCAGAACTCAGACTTTACCCAACACAGACCAGGTAAGATTATACAAACTAATGTCTTGTTCTTATTATTGTTAAAAGGTATAGTTGACTACGAAAATACATGTACTTATTCAAGCTGCTTAAATACGTGTCATCACATAAAACCTTATTGTATTTTATAAAGACTTCACAAGGTCCGGTGTTGTGTGAAATGATGCCCCCCGTCATGAAATTCCCCCCTTGTCACGGGAACGCGCATTTCTAAATGACACGTTTACACCTTAAAACGATGTTTAAAACGAAAAGTAAACGTTCAGGGTTTTTATTAATGGTAATTTTCAGACTGCTCCATGTATTGGTACCAGTCCTACAACTAAAAATGCTAGAGGGTGGGAATAATAGAAACATCTTTGGGGGGGGGGGGGGGGGGGGGTGCATTTTATCATCCAAGTCAGAATTAAAACCAATATGGAGTGAGGGCTAGTCCTGCAATTGTCCAACACATTTACATAATCACAGTAATTAATAATACATGTTGAATGAAATAAAGAAATAAAGTGACATATTATCCATACTAAAATTGTGTACATTATCACACATAAAATAAACATTCATTTTGAAGGACTGGTACCAATAAATGGAGCAAGTTTCATGTAGCCTATGTGACACTTTTATTATGTAAGATAGCAAGGGGTGCATAGCGCGGCAAAAAACGTGCTGACAAAGACTATGTAACATTTGTAAACATATATTTTGATTATTAGATGACAACTATGTAAAATTAAACAATACATTTTAAAGCACGTTTATACAGACAGGACGTAACAATAATAATAAAAACTATAATAAAAAAACAAAAACTGAAAAGAAAGTAACGATTGAATTTCGACACCACCATCAAATACGGAGCGAAAAGTTAAACCAGAAGAATCAAGACTATATGAGCTACCACTAAGCGACTCACAGTCTGAAAACTACCATTAATAAAAACCCTGAACGTTTACTTTTCATTTTACACATCGTTTTAAGGTGTAAACGTGTCATTTAGAAATGCGCGTTCCCGTGACAAGGGGGGAATTTCATGACGGGGGGGGGGCATCATTTCACACAACACCGGCATTGTATCGTCATACTTCAGACATTGTGCATCTAATTACATACTAAACATTTTTAAATATCGCTGTTCTTGCACTGATTATATTGTCTCAACTTTAACATATAAGAATTAAATAGTTAAACACTCTATGTTTTGCTGACTTCCAAATCCTTCTCCTCGAGTGTGCATTTTGTTTAAGGTCTGGAAAATCAAAGCCCATGCCCTGCAAAATATGTTGTACTGTTTGAAGGGCGTGGTATGTTTCTGCTGTGTCTTACTTTTAGTATTTTATTTAACTTTAGTCCAAACAATATTTAGGAATTAAACCTTTCTAACCTTTGATAACCGGTTGCATCAGCATAATGATGCTCTGTCCGTGGATCTGAAATATGTGCAGATTGCATTATAGGGCCTGGCAGTACACAGTAAGGGAGATGTCCTGTTTCTCGTTTATCACTGAAAGAAATAATTGTAATTATGGGAAAGGCTATGTTTGTGTTTATTTTTAATGCATTGTAGTTATTTCAAATGGCCACGAGGCGACACCATAGACCGTAACACCAACCCAGGTTGCTGACGTATAGAAATCCCTCCCA